GTCACTAGCGAGCCGTCAAGTGCTTCCAAGATTTTAATGGAGCTCTTTGTGTTGTTGATCAGTTCATCAGTTCAAATGGTAACTCAACTCAATCTCCATAACCCGTGAATAGAAATATGAATTTCGTTATAAACAGCATTTCAGTTGTATTATATTAAAATAGCGACAATTTATGTTAACCAACTAACTGCAAACACAGGTGTACTACTGATAATCAAAACAAAATTATTTGGGTTATTTAAATTTCAGCTAGCAAATATTTTATCGAATAAATATAAAGGATTTGGTGAAACAATGGAAAATTGTTCTATCGATTTGCAAAAGAAAAAATTAACTGTACAAATCAACAGGAAGAAAAGTTTCAACATTGGCTATTGTTGTTTGGATAAGACTATATTAGATCGTGTTTACTGGTCGATTTATGGTTCCATATTGACTGATACAGGTAGTAGTGTGAATAGTAGTAGTAGTAGTAGTAGTAGTAGTCAGAATAGTAGTAATATTAGCAAAGGTAGTAGCAGAAGTAGTGTGAGTAGTAGTAGTAGTAGTATTGTGTGAGCAGTAGTAGCAGTAATAGTAGTGGTAGTAGTAGTAGCAGCAGTAGTGGTCAGAGTATTTGTGTGAGTAGTAGTAGTAGAGGTAATGTGAGTAGCAGTGGTAGTAGTAGTAGTATTAGTAGTAGTCAGAGTCGTAGTAGTAGTAGAAGTGGTCAGAGTAGTAGACGTGTGAGTAGTAGTAGTAGTAGTCAGAGCAGCAGTAGTATTAGTGTGAGTAGTAGTACTAGTAGAAGTAGTGAAAGTAGTAGTAGTAGTAGTAGTCAGAGTAGTAGTGTGAGTGGTAGTAGAAGTAGTGTGATTAGTAGTAGTAGTAGTAGTAGTAGTAATAGGAATTTATGTAAAATTTGTAAATACCAGTTGCTAATTTTTCCAAAAGTATAAAGCAAGAATCTCAACAAAGTATCATGCATTGAATAGGAGAGTATGGTTTAATAATCTTGAACATATTATTCAAACGCAATAATTCAAACATTGAAAAAGATGACGTGAAGCGGAGAATAGAGAATCGTAGCAAGCGAAAAATAATGTAAACACAGAGATATGCAAAAGGAAAATTTTGAAAGAATGATACAAACTTGAGGGAAATTAGGTTTTATGCAATGAAATATGGAAACATAGAGGAAAGGAAAATGGAAACCTGTGACTTCGAAATACATAACCAGATTAAACAAAAAAATTATTAGTAAGATGATAAAAAGAGTAAAGCATCAAACAAAACGCCATTACAAAATGTAAAGAGGAATAGAAGGTGATCAGAAAATGTAATCGCGTATAAGAACACACGCACACCACACGCGAACACATGCATGCATATATGAGTAACGGTGAACTATAGGGGATCAGTAAATGATTTGACGGATATGAATGTTAAACTGTGTAATTGTCCTGTTGAATTTTCAATTCTGGTTCATTTTTCAATATATATCTGCCACATATTTGCAGGGCTTACTGAACTGCCTGCACTGAAAGAACCAAACGAAATTGCAACCAAATCCAATGAAACACAAAATACTTCAGGTGAGTGATGCTGTCCGGATATTTATACTGTTACACAAAGAAAACGAAAGCCATTCTTGATTTTGAATGTATTCGAAATCCTGATTAAAAGAACACGGTAGAGATTCCAAAGCAAATGAAAACGACAATGAACGTGTACTAGTTCACTGACAATGTCAGATAGTTCTGAGGAACTTGACAGTGTCTGTGATTGAAATTCAATCATACACAATTCCCAGTGTCAACTTGCAAAATCCATTCACATCACACGCCCAAGTTACGAAACATATTGTTTATTCGGCTACATTGTATACAATTCACTGATCCGACCTTCACACACTTCAATCAACATGACGCTATCACAACGACGTGACAGGTGACTAACACAGTTATCAATGTCACCTATGACAGACATAGTGCGATAACGTTTCAATGAATGTAGTAAGATTTGTGAATATGTAGAAATAACGAGTATTTGACTTAATGGGACACAGATGGATGTGTGCATGTTGACGTGTAAGAACTTCTCCGATTGTGTGAATCGATTAGCGTACTTTCCAATGTGTTTCTGTGATTGGACAGCTGATGTGGGAGAGAGTAATGCAGGTTGACAGGTGGCAAACGTAACTGCCATTGTGTTCATCCAGTGGACCACATTACGATGATTTGAGTGCCTCCGCACTCATTTATCAATGCGTGTGGCATTTCCATCACTATCATGTAATCAACAATTCACAATTCCAATATCACTCATGTGTCTCGAAAAAATGTCACCACGATGGGCACCCATGCAATCGCATGTATGCACACATAACCACACGCGCACACACATGCACGCACATATGAGTAACGGTGAACAATAGGTGATCAGTGAATGGATTGACGGATATGAGTGTTAAACTGTGTGATTGTCCTGTTGAATTTTCTTCTCTCGTTCATTTTTCAATCTGCTTCTGTAATGTAGAAGCAGAGCAGGCTATACTGTCTGTAATCCCGGCACCAGTTGAAACTCCAACCAGAAGCGACAATGATGAAGAAAATTCAGGTGAGTGATGCCATTCAGACATACCTACTTTACCACAAAGATAATGTTAGCCATGGTGACAATTTCGAATGTACTCACAATCATGATCAAAACGTTAGAAACAACACGTTACAATTTCCAAAGTAACTACAAACGGCAATAAACGTGTACTACTAGTACACTGACTATGTCAAATCGTTGTGGATTCAGATCATGCTCTAGTGCGAGTGACTATTTGTTTGCGCCTTACTGGACGCCAGAAAAATATCGCAAGTAAAATTCTTAGGGCTTTACTTAATGACAAGCAAGCGAAGAAAATATTTCAGGAGGAACTAGAAAAAAACAGTTCGGCGACCATGCAAGTGATTCCCATCCGGAGACAGGTTGGAATGATATCAAGAAGGCTGTGGAAACAGCAGTGATATCTGCTAGAAGGTAAACAATAAAGCTACCATGAGGCCGTGGATTTCAGTCACATCAACCGAACTAACGGATGCTCGAAAACGCATCTCACCTGACTCTGAACATGACGAAGAGCGAAGTCATCTCAGGCGCAGACTGATAAAAAGCCTACTTAACGACCGTGAACAGTGGTGGTTGAGTTAAGCGAAAGCAAGAGAAGAGGCAGCGGCGATGGGCAACACTAGACAACTTTTCCGACTTATTAGGAACTCGAATGTGAGTGAGACTCTCTCAGAAAAGGATGACTGTATGGTTTATTCTCAATCGAGAAGATTGGACCGATGGGCAGAACACTTCACGGACCAGTTCAACTGGTCTTCATCCACACTCCGGTCGCCCACTATCTACAGTCATCCGGAATGGCAAACTGAATTAAGTCCTCCTAGTCTGCATGAAGTTGAGAAAGCTATAGGAAGTGTGAAGGGAGGTAGAGCAGCAGGTCCTGATATGCTTACCCATGAGATATTTAAGGATGGTGGTCCAGTTTTAACAGTTAGACTGACCGAGATCTTAGGTAGAATCTGGGAACTGGACGTAATCCCATCTGACTGGCCTCAGTCGCTAATTGTCCCAATCTACAAAAAATGACACAATTCCTCTTGTGACAATCACAGGGGAATAAGTCTAACTAATACAGTTTCTAAATTGTTAGCCTCTATTATACTTGGACGTCTAACTAAGCTCGTGAAGAGCAGACTCGAGAAAACTAGTCTGGTTTCAGACCTGGACTTGGCTGTATAGACCACATCTTCACACTACGACGGGTCCTGGAACACAAACACACATTTAGACGTCCGACAATATTTGTGTTCCTGGACATAAAAGCGGCATTTGTCTCAGTGGATCGTGAAGTTCTGTGGCAGTGTCTGTCATTGAATGGTGTACCAACGAAATACAATAATCTTATAGAAGCTCTCTACCCGAACATCACTAGTTGAGTTAGAACCTATGCCGAACTGTCATCTGAATTCTCTGCATCAAGTGGTGTCCGTCAGGGCTGTCCAATCTCTCCATTCTTGTTTAACTTTGTCGTAGACATTCCTTCGAAGTTAACATTAAGCTCGACAGATTTGTCAGGGGTTGACCTTCTACCCGGATGCTAGCTTATAGACTTAGGATATGCTGATGACATAGTTCTATTCGGTGAATACGCTGACAAGATGCAGAGTCTTCTGACTACCCTAAGCAAAAATGCAAGCATGTTCGTGACACGTGTTCCAGCTCGAAATGCAAAATGTTGCTTCAGGTTTGAGATGCATCGGCACCTGAACTAGAGATAGGGAGTGAAGTAGTCGAGAGTGTTGATCACTTCACTTATCTGGGGAGTCGCATCAGCGCTGATAGCCTGGTGACTGACGAAATCTCAGGTCGGATAAAGAAAGCTCGATTTTTTTTCAATTTACGCCGTTTGTGGCGTGGGCGAGATATCCGTTTTCCTATTTGGATGCGAAACATGGCCTTTAAGAGTAGACGATGTTTTTCAGATACTGGTTTTCGATCACAGGTGTCTTAGAAGCATTGCTCGTATATCGTGGGACAACCGAGTAAGCACTGCTGTCGTTAGGAAACGAGTTCTAGGTAAGGATGGCAAATCAATGGATGACGTGGTGAAACTTCATCAGTTGAGGTGGTTGGGACATGTGTTACGAATGCCTAACCGCCGACTGCCTCAACGAGCTATGTTTTGTGGTGTAGGAGTAGGTTGGAAGAAAGCTAGGGACGGCCAGACCAAAACATGACAGAAATTCATGAAGCCACTGACAAGTGGACTGAGCCATGTTGGTAGATGTAGACTATGTGGTTGGAGTCTGCGAGACGAAAGTCAACAATGGTTAGAGACCTTGAATGACATGGCTCAGAATCTTATGCAATGGCACAAGTGCATTCGTTGTGCTCTCTCAAATCCCAATCTTCTCTATTCGTCAGCACCTCAAACTTTGTCTTTCTAACCTTTTATCACTGAATTGTACTTCTGGAATAATATCTTCAAACCCTACCATTCTTCATCGCTAATAATACCTCTACTATATTTATCACTATGGAATTTGATTTGACATTTGCGTACCTATGATATTGTAGTATGGCAACATGAACATATGTACATACTTTCGAAGTTCTACGTGGCAACTGACTCACTGAATCACATCACGATGATTTGTGTGCACACACACTGATTAGTCAATGCGTGCTGCATGTCCATCACTATCATGTGGTCGACAAATCACAATTCCAATATCTAGCATAATATTAACCAAAATGTGTCTCGAACAAACTGTCACCACAATGGGCATCCATGCAATCGCATGTATGCACACATAACCACACACGCACAAATGCACGCACATATGAGTAACGATGAACAATAGGTGATCAGTGAATGGTTTGTTGGACGTGATTGATAAACTGTGTCATTGTCCTGTTGAATTTTCTTCTACTGTGGATTTACAAATCTCTTTCTGTCATGTAATTGCA